GGGGGGGGGGGGGAGGAAAATTGTAACTCCAGGGAAAACAAAATATGCAGTAAAAATCAGTCATGATATACTATATCACCTGTGATTGACATTATTTAGTCATAATCACATTAAAAAACCCAATCTGATACAACAAAAAATTACAATATAACTACTGGAAGGAGGGAGAATGGGAAAACTAAAAATATGTTTTTTTGGGTAAGGGGGGAAAAAAGTGTCCATCAATTTGGATGTGAAAAAACTACGCTATACAGTAGTAATCAAAGCAGTACTTATAATTTTGTCACTCATTGAAATGATAAATTTTCATATCATACTACAGGTGTTGCAGATATCAAAATATTATTTACAATCAACACTTCAAAATTAAGTCATTAGACCTACCAATAGATTTTTTTCATGTAAGGTGTTAATAACTATATCTTTACATCAGATATCTGGTTTTAAAATATTTTCATAACTACTGTAATCAAAACTAATATTTATAATCCTATGAATTTTATTTTATGGATTTAAAGTCACTCTAAGAAGGGGTTCATAAACCTCACCAGATTGCCAAAAAGATACATGGCATAAAAAAAAAATACTAAGAACCCTTGCCAAAGGGTAGAAAGAAACAAAAAAAAAAGTAACAACCTTCTTTGTTGTGGTGGTAGTGAATAAACCCTGTAGAACTACATGCTTCTAATATTTCATGTGTACAACTCTTTTGTAAGGTAAATATTTAAGGTAATACGTCACTTTTCATGATTATTTCCTTTTTAAATAATGTTTTGCCCGGCTGGGCATGGCTCAGCGGTTGAGCATCGACCTAGGATCCAGGTGATCGGGGTTCGATTTCCGGTCAGGACACATGCCCAGGTTGTGGGCTCGATCCCCAGTCGGCGACATGCAGGAGGCAGCTGATCAATGACTCTCTCATCACTGATGTTTCTATCTCTCTCTCTCCCTCTCCTTTCCTCTCTCTGAAATCATTAAAGATATATCAAAAAAATAATAATAATGTTTTTATTTTTTATTACAGTTGGAACACAGTATTATATTAGTTTCAGGTGTACAAAAATAGTGATTAGGCATTTATAACTTACAAGTGATCACCCCAATAAATCTAGTACGCATCTGACACCATACATAATTACAATATTATTTATATTCCCTACGCTGTACTTTACATCTCCCCAACTATTTTCATAGCTGGAAATTTGCACATCTTATTAATTATTTCCCTTTTTACGCATCTCCCCAAGTCCCCCTCCCCCCAATCTGGCAACCATCAATATGTTCTCAGTGTCTATGAGTTTGTTTTATTCATTCGTTATATAGATTCCACATATATATAAGTGAAGTCATATGGTAGTTCTCTTTCTGTCTGACTTATTTCACTTAGCATAATACCCTGTAGGTCCCTCCATGTTATCAGAAATGGCAAGATTTCACTTTTTATGGCTGAGTAATACTCCATTGTATCTATGTACAACTTCTCCTTTATCCATTTATCTATCGGTGAACACTTAGGTTGCTTCCAAAACTTGGCTACTGTAAATAATGGTGCAGTGAACATAAAAATGAATGTCTTTTTGAATTAGTGTTTTGGGTTTCTTCAAAGAAATACCCAGAAGTGGATTGGCTGGATCTTTCTTTGTCTCTAGTTATATAGCCTTTGTTTTAAAGTCTCTTTTGCCTGCTTTAAGTGCTGCTACCCCAGCTTTTTGTTGTTGTTTACATTTGCATGAAATATCTTCTTCCATCCATCTTACTTTGTGTCTGTCTTTTGATGTGAAGTGAGCCTCTTATAGACAGTGTATGTATGAGTTTTGTTTTCTTATCTGCTTGACCATATTATATTTTTTAACTGAAGCATTTAGTTCACTTACATTTAAAGTATTTATTGCTAGGTATGTAGTTACTGTCATTTTATTATTCATATTTTTTACTCACTTTTTCTTCTTCTTAGGAAAGCCCCTTTAACATCTTTTATAATACTGGTTTGATGGTGATGAACTCCTTTAGTTTTTTCTTATCTGGAAAGCTCTTTATTTCTTCTTCGATTTCAAATGATAGCCTTACTGGGTAAAGTAGTCTTGGCTGTGGTTCTTGCTTTTCATCACTTTGAATATTTCATGCTAATCCCTCCTGGTCTGAAATGCTTCTGTTGAGAAGGCAGCTGACAGTCTTATGGGAGCTCTCTTGTAGTTAAATGTCTTTCTCTTGCTGCTTCTAAGATTCTCTATCTCTAACATTTGCCACTAGAATTATGATGTGTCTTAGTGTGGGCCTCTTTGGGTTCATCTTGTTTGGGACTCTGCACTTCCTGGACTTGTATGTCTTATTTCCTTCACCAGGACTTTCCTAGGAAAGTTCTGCAACATTATTTCTTTAAATAGGTTTTCAATTCTTTGCTCTCTCCCTTTCCTTCTGGGTCCCTTATGATACAAATGTTGGTACATTTGATGTTATCCCAGAGACCCCTTGAACTATCGTCATTTTCTTACTCATTTTCTTCATGCTGTTCTGATTGTTTTCTGCTACCTTGTCTTCTAAATTGCTAATTCAATCCTCTGCTTCCCTCTAATGTATTCTTCATTTTGGTTATTGTAGTCTTCATTTCTGACTCATTCTTTATGTTTTCTATTTTCATTTCTATGTATCCTATCTCTTTGTTAAAGCTCTGAGTTCATCCACTCTTCCCCTAAGCGCACAGAGCATCCTTATAAGCAGGATTTTGAACTCCACATCTAGTAGATGCTTCTCTCCATTTTGTCTACTCCTTTTCCTGGAGTTTTGTTCTTTCTTTCATTTGGGACATGTTTCTTTGTCTCTCATTTTGGCTGCTTATCTGTATTTGTTTCTATGTATTAGACTGAGCTACTACGTCTCCTATTCTTGGTAGAGTGGCTTTAGGTAGTAAGAGT